TTGGGTCTTGCAGTGTCTGAAGAAAAAATACTCTTTGGTATCTGCTATTTCAGGCACCTAACGAATCACCTCACTTGTTTCAGAACCTGCAAATGAGATCCTGGAACATTTAACAGACAAGCCAGCAAAAGGTAGAAATACTACCGAGGTCAGTCCTCCAGGACTGCTCTGGTTAATTGAAAAGATAAAAATTTTCTCCTTCTCTCTTTATTTATAAATTCATATTAGCAGGACAAATCTCTTGTTTCAAATGAACATTTGTTTTCTATTGAAATATAATTCATCTATTCTTTCACCTATTTCTATCAAAGATAATGAAAGTCAGATTTCTTTCTTGTTTTGGCTGTACTTTGGGGTCTTCTTTGGTCTTTTGTTCTGTTTCAGTGGTAGAACATGCGTTAGGCCCTGAGTTCAGTCCTCAGCACTGAAGGAAGCACGGAAGGAGGGAAGGGAGGAGAGGAGGGAGGGAGGTGGGGAGGGAGGAGGAAAACAGTGAATAAGTGATTTTTCAGGTTCTTCTTAAATTTGGTTTAAATTTGTTTTGCTGGGCTTTTTATAAATAGCCTCTAAACCAGGTGTGGGGGCAGACGCCTGTAACCTCAGCATGAGATCTAGGCCCATCTGGGCTACATAGTGAGTTGAAGACCAGCCTGGACTAGAGTGAGACTACGTCTCAAAAAAACAAACAAACAAACAAAAAAATAGCCTCTGAGGGCCGAGGATGTAGCTCAGCAGCATAAGTGCTTGCCTGGCAAGTACAAGGGTCCTGAGTTCAATTGCTGGTGCAAAAATAGTCTCTGGTTAGACTCTTAGAATCTTCTGAAGCCTAGAAAAACAGGTAACAATTTTTGATAAAGTTTTGCCCTCGATATCTATATATCTGAGTGAATGCCTCTCTCCTTGAGACATGCTGAGGCTCATGACCTTCTCGTGCATAAAACATTCCAGGCACCAGTCTACACTCCCACCAACAGTGGAGAGGGGTTCCTTTTTCCCCACATCCCCTCTATCATTTGTTATTGGTTGATTTCTTGATAGTAGCCATTCTTTCCTGGGTGAGGTGGAATCTCAGTGTTGTTTTAATTTGCATCTCTCAAATGACCAGTGATGTTCAACATTTTTTCACATATTTATTTTCTGTTTGTATTTCTTCATCTGAGAAGTGTGTATTCATCTCAAATGCCCATTTTTGGACTGGACCTTTAAATCTGGGGGGACTGATTTTTTTGAGTTCCTTATATGTTCTCAATAGTAATACTTTGTCTGAGGAACAGCTGGCAAATATTTTCCCCCACGTCGTGGGTTGTCTGTTCACTCTGTTGATGATTTCTCTTGCTGTGCAAAAGCTTTTCAATAGGGTGAGATCCCAGTTGTTGATTCTATGTGATAGTACCTGTGTAACCAGGGTCTTGTTCATAAAGTCTTTGCCTATACCACTGTTTTCATGAGTTTTATCTACTCTATCTTCCAGCAGATTTAATGTTTCTGTTTTACTATTAAGATCTTGACCCATTTCGAATTTAGTTAGCATGGTGAAAGATATGGGTCCAATTTTAATTTTGGGCATGTTCAGAGCCTGTTTTCCCAGCACCATTTATTAAAGAGGCTTTCTGTCTACAAGTGAGTATGTCTGGCTCTTCTGTCAAAGATAAGGTGGCTTAGTGTGTCTGGAGTTGTTTCTGCATCTTCTGATCTGTTCCATTGATCTTCAGGTCTTTTTTGTGGGCTGGCACTCTTATCTAAGAAAACAGAGCCAGAATACAACTTTCATCTAAGAACTCAAGGAATCACTGTGATTCAGCAAAAAGCATATAGGGGAAAACCACCCCATATGTTGTTTTTTAATTCAAAGTTATCCTTATCACCAAAAGCAGATTAATAAAAGAAAAAAGTTTTATTTTTATTTCTGTCCATGCTAAGCATCAAACCCAGGATCCTGTGGATGCTGGCTGATTGCTTTGCCACTCAGCCACACCCTGACCCTCAGCTTATTAATGTAATGTTTCATACACACATATGCATAAATGTAGTAAATGGAGACACGTGTTTTCAGGAGGTATATATAGCCTCTCCCCATCTCCTCTCTCCGTTATCCACCCTTTTCTCCATAAGTAACTGTCCTACTATTTCTGTGAAATGAACTTTAGATCCGACATACAATTTAGACTGTACCTCTCAGGAGAATACCACACTTTTAGAGAAGCACTAAGGTAAAGACAAAGAACCTGAGCCTTTAAAACAGCAATTTGTGTAAAGGCAAAAAATGACCAAAAAAGTTAATTAGTGAGGGATGTTAGTACAGATTCCCCTGTTTTTAGCTCCAGCTAAAAATCTAAAATTGTTCTCAGTGGTAAACCTTTGTTCTCCTTGATATAAGCTGGGGGGATATAAGCAGCATAGCAGGGAAGCAGAGTGTTGGGTCATCTTTTGTTAACTGCCTACCAATCAACATGCTCTTACATTTTGGGGGTGCCATATCCTGCCCTCTCACAAGAGCCACAAAAGATAACCTTGCAGGCCACAGGAGCAGGACATAATTGGCACTCAGTACAAGAGCTGGGAGAAGACATTCCAGGTGTATTTGTTTCTTTCTGTGATAGGGTCTTAATATATAACTCAGACTGGCCTCACTCTCTCTGTGTCATCCAGGATGTAACCCATTCCGGTGCAGGGATTACTGCTAAGTAACCACACCTGGCTCAGGAGCTATTCTTCAAAGAAGCCTGAACTCTAACCTAGCTTCACAATCTACCCTTAAACTGTAGGATTAAAAATTTTCTGGGGCTGGAAGTACAGGTCAGTAGCACAGCACAAGCCTCATGTGTACAAAGTTCTGAATTTGATTACCAATACCAAGAAAATAAGTAGATAATCTCTCCTTATCAGCTTCATTGTATACATTCCTGGAAAAACGGTCCAGGTGTCTGACTCACAGTTTCCTGATGAGTCAGGAGTAAAGGCCAAGCCTCAGTGGTGTACTCCTATGGACTGGATCAGAGGGCCAATGTCGATTCTGATCCCGGCCTAGCTGTGGCTTGTTACCTGTGAAAAAATATATTCAGTTACATTTGGTCAATCATACTATTTGAGGACTAATCTGAAGGATAATAGGGAAAAACTTTCAGTGACAGTGAGAAAAACAGCTCAATTCTGAATACAGAATAGCCAAGTGGGAATTCGTAGTCAAAGAGCAGTGGGGAGGTCGGTCAGTGGAAAAGTACTACACAGAAGCATGAGAGATAAGGAGGATTCTGGCTAGAATCATCTAACAGGAGTCTTACTTTTAAAAGGCCAGAGTGGTGAGACAGAATCTGGGGGAAGGCAGAGACTGAGGAAACTGGTCATGTGTTGAGAATGATTAGTTATCAAGGCCATATTGGAGGTTTTCTTGCTAAAACATCTTAGTTTTTGCTTAAATTGGATTTTTCAAAGAAATGCATAATGGTTCTTGAAGAAAATTCAGAGACCTGATGACGTTTTCCTAATCATGAAGACTTTAACTATTTAGCTCAGTATGTGTATGTATTTGTGGTGCTGGTGATAAATTCAAAGGCACTGAGCTAAGCAAATACTCTTTCCTCTAAGTTATATTCCCTGCTGAAGAATTCAACTTTTAAAAAATACTTAAATCATAGAAAAACATTGGGATTATGAGAAATTTAAGGAGAGGCAAGGAATTATTTCAAAACCATAAAATTCCTTGTGACAAATTTAAGAATACAGTTCTACGCATGCCGTGTGTGTATGTATTTATTTATACACACGGACACATATTTTTGCCTCACTGATGTATTAAATATATACTAACTTTAAAAATTCAAAAAGCCAACCATGGTGACACACACCTGTAATTCCAAATGATAAGATGGGCAGATTATTGTGAATTTGAGGCCAGCCTGAGGTACATAGTGGAATCAAGGGCAGACTGAACTCTGCAGAGATGCCCTGACCCCAAAAAAAAAAAAAAAAAAAGTTGCCAGGCTTGGTGGACCACACCTGTAATTCCAGCACTCAGAAGTGTGAGGATCTTTGCAAATTTAAAGCCAGCCTGGATCACATAGTGAGTTCAGGGCCAGCCTTGACTACATAGCGAGACCTTGTCTTAAAAGGGGGAGGGAGAATATAGCTCAGCAACATAGCACACCTACCTGCCAGGCATGAGGCCATGAGTTTGATTCCTGGTAACCAAAAAAAAAAAAAAAAAAAAAAAAAAATCAAACAAACTCAAAACATTAGGAAATTAAATTACCTCAGCCTCCTGGTTTCTGGAGTTACACTTTGCAATGTCTGTATTTAGGCCCTCCACTTCAAACCTACACTTAAGAAATACCTACATGAGAGCTGGAGTTTTAGCTCACTGTTGGAGCATTTGCTTAGCATGGATTCAATCCCCAGCATCAGAAAACAAAAACAATTTAGCATAGTGGCACATGTCTGTAAGTCCAGCTACTCAGAAGGCTTTGGCAGGAGAATTTCAGGGCAGACCAGGTAACTTAGATACTGTCTCAAAATGTAAAAGTTAAAAAGGACTAGTGATGTAACAAAGTAGATCACTTGCCTAATACGTATGAGGTCATGAGTTCAAGCCCCAGTAGCAATATACAATAAAAAGCAAAACAAAAACCCACTCTTATCATTTCTATGTAGGCTTCAGTGTATTTCAGTGTGTATTATATAGCTTACAGAATTGTAATATAATGAAGTCCGGTAACAGAGCCAACAGTATGTGAAGAATGTAGTATGCAACAAGTTGGAAATTTTAGTTACGAGCCAGCTTTTTAAAGGTTATGTCTATTAAAATACAAATAAAGAAATGAAACCCGCTTTGAAATGTGTGATGAAATACTTTTTCCCTCAACAACCCAGTTCCTTCTGGATCAAATACTTGCAAAAATGGTAGGTTTTACAGTAGATGTTGTCTTCTATTGTTTAAATTATTTAGAATTCCTATTTCTGGACGATCCTGAGATAATCTTGCAGTGTTTTTGTTTGTCATTTAGCCTGTTTTGAAAACCGATTCGGTACCACTGCAAAAGGCCCCAATTCACAGCCGACACCTGCCAAGCCTGTGCTGCACAGAAAGAAACTGGACTGTCCCTGAGCTTGCCCAGGCGCCCGGGCCGACCGGAAGTGCGTCATCAGCCTGCGCTGGGGCTCGCCAGCGGGCGCTCTAAGGTGACGTCAGGGCCGGTCCGCGGTGCCGTGGGCTGGCCTGTCAGTGACATTTTTCGGGGTTTCAGTTTCATTAGTCATAGGAGAGACGTTTTGTGGGGTGTGTGTTTTTATGTTTAGCACTTAGTTTTTGGTCTTTTAAAAATGCGGGTTAGAAAAATAAAAAACGCGAATGAGCTGGATGTGGTGGCGCAGGCCTGCCAGCTCAGTATTTGGGAGAATGCGGCTGGAAGACCTCTGCGAGTTCTACACCAGCCTGCACTGCAGAGTGAGACTTTGTCTCAGACAATACGAAACCACTGAAAAAACGCGAGTTCCCATTTATCGTCTTAACAATGTACGCTGTAACACAGATTTAAAAGACCCAATTTCTTGTTGTTCATCTGAATTTACAAATGTAGCCCAAAGAGATCCTTTACTTGTGTGGTGCTGCGATAGAAAGGCCTTGGGTGCCTACGGGACTCGGGCTCTATCACGGGGCTGCATCCGCCCCTCGGCGCCCACCGCTTTCTGTTGCTCAGTTCCGCAGCCTGCGCTGGAATTCGCAAGCTTCTGTCTCAGCCCCCCGGAGGCTAAAATTAGAGGTCTGCGCCACCAGGATGGGTGAGATTTTTGTGGGGTTTTTTGTTTGTTTCTTTGTTACTGACTTTTGGGAGGTACTTTGTTTGAGACAGGGTCTCATTTGAGCTCACTGGTCTTCCCAACGCTGGCACTGCAGGTGTGCATCCTCATGCCCAACTCCTTTGATTTTTATATGTACAACAAAATGAAAATAGTTTTGCTTTAAAGCTATGGTTAGGGAAGTCATCCATGAGCAGATTTGCTTATGTGCCTTTTAAGATTTTTGTTGTTTTCAGTTTATTTGTTAAAAATGCTCAAAATAATTTTAGTAAGTTTGATGATAGTTTATTCCTTTTCATTTAAATGTGATTACTCTTAAATATATGCATTTACCTATCTGTCTCTCTCTCTATATATATATATAGCTGTACACACATATTTTGCTTATTCTATTCCATCTTCTTTCTACCAAAAAATCTATTGACAGGGCAGAGACAAGGACTTCTTACAGATATTTGCCACAGTGCCACTTAGGTCATCTGAATGCATCATGGGTTTTCAGTTATCAGTAACTTTTTTTGGTGCTTATCTGCAGGTTACTTGAAAAATTATTCAGCTGGATGTGGTGGTGCATGCTGGTAATCCCAGCATTTAGGAGGCTGAGGCAGGAGAATCATAGCAAGTTCAAGACCACCCTGGGCTGCAATGTGAGCTCAAGGCCAGCCTAAACTGCATAATGAGACCCTGTCTCAAAAAGACAAAAAAATTAGTTATACTTGTTGCAGCATGATAAAGCTGAGCATCAGAGTAGGTGAAGAGACCATTACAACAGTTTTCTTGTAGGGCAGAGAGGTTTGGCTCAACTCAGAAAACAGGAGAGCAGTGAGTCAGATGTAATGGTACTTCCTGCAGTTTAGCAGTTAGGAGGCTGAGGCACAAGGATTGCTGTGAGTTCAAATCCAGCCTGGGCCACAAAGTTAGACCTTATCTCAAAAAACAAAACAAGTGGGAAAGAGAGACAGGAAGAGAAGAACAAGAATAAGAAAGGCAGGGAAAATAAAGGGAGGCAGGTGACAAGGGAAGGAAGGAAGAAGGGAACACAAGGGAGGGAGAGAAGAAAGGAGGGCGAGGGGGGGATTCCGTAAACATGTTCCCTCCCCAAATTTCTGCCCAGCTTTTGCTGCCCTTTCTCTGGAAGCTGAAGGTAGTTTATCCTTTTTTTTGAAAGTAGTTTATCTTATGTAAGTAGAAATGCCACCTATCTGCAGTTTGTAATACAATGTTCAGTATTCCAGTTCATCTGGTACACGTTTTTAAAACTTTTATCCTTAATTAGAAACAGTTTTCCTATTGCTAAGGAGTTATAACTTCATTTATATCTTCAGTCCCCCATTCAACCATTGCCTCATTTTTAGATATTTGCTTTCCTTGACTCTGAGACAGCTGTCTAACAAAGCAGGTGTTCTCCCGGAAACCACATTAGCATCACCTGAGGGCTTGTTAAAACCCAGTGCAACTGCCAAGGGGGTCTCTAATTTATCAGGTCACTTGGGGCTGATAATGGGTGGTGGTAGAAGATTGACCAGACGCAGGTGAGTAGAGTTGGCCTGAGGCTTATACAGGAAGTTCCTGATAATACAGATGGACCATCTCATTGCCTGAAAACTCACGTTGTCAAGGTTCACACAGGAAGAGGCAAAACTGGGATATTAGGCGTCTGTATTCTAAATCATCTTAAAATCTCACTGACCTGAAATCTGGAAGTTTTTGCTATACTGTCTGGAATACAGATTTTTTTTTTGTCTCTTTTAATTAAAAAAAAATAGGCTGGGGGTTTAGCTCAGTGGCATAAGCGCCTGCCTTGCAAGCAGGCAGTCAGTCGTGAGTTCGATCCCCGGTACCAATAAAAATGAAAAAAGACAAAATTTAAAAAAAAAAAAATATTTTGTGGGTCAGAATTATTGGCACACTCCTGTATTCCCAGCACTTTGGAGACTGAGGGTGGAGTAGCTCCAGTTGAGATCGACCTGGGCTACATAATAAGATCCTATTTAAAAAATAAAATACGTTTTTCACTATCTATGTATAGCAAAAACATGCAAAACATTTAGTACTGCTTTACAGTATAAAAGCTAATTTTCAGATTAAAGAATAGGTGTTCCCTGGTGCTCCCAAATTGTCTGATATTTCTTTCTTACCTTGGTCTCCTCTGCCAACAGAGAAAAAGCCTTCATGCTACTATTTATACTGTACTTTCATTCCATATGATTGCATACTGAGCTACACAGCGAGACACTGTGGGGAAGGCGATTAGATCCCAAAGGTAGTTTCTCCACCATGGAAGCAGGGGCCTGGCGATATAGCTCAGCAGCACAGCGCTCCTGGGAAGCACTATGTGGTGCATTGGATTCTGGTACTAAAAACACAACAAACCATACATAAGTAAAACGATGGAATCAATCTGTTGATGAATTCAAAATGTGATAGCATTGCCTATAATCCCAGCACTTGGGAAGCTGAGACAGGAAGATCACTGTGAGTTTGAGGCCAGCCTGACCTGCATGGTGAGACCCTGTCTCAAAGCCAAAAAAAAAAAAAAAAAGATGGCATTGCTGGGAGGTCATGGGATTTAGGCGATGTGGCCTGGTTGAATGATGTGGGACAAGAGGGCCTCACCTCTGGGACTCTTTAGCTTCTGGTCTTTCCACGTAGGCTCTTTTCTGTCATGTTCATCATTCATTTCTCTTTCCTTCCTCCTTCCTTTGTAGCTGCCGCGAGGTAAGCAGCTGTGCCCTTCATGCCTGTGTGCTGTGAAGTTCCTTCTTGCCAAAGGCCTAAAGAACGGTGAACACGGCTGACTGTGGCTCTGAAACTGTAAGCCAAAATAAAGTCTTTTGAGACAGGGTCTCGTGATATAGTACAGTTCAGGCCGCCTTGGTACTCATTTTGTGTCTCATACTGGCCTAAAACTCATGGCACCCTTCCACCTCAGCCTGCCGAGGGCTGGAATTACAGGTGTGTACAGCTATGTAAAACTTTTGAGTTGTTTTCTTTGACATTTTGTCACAGGAAAAGAAAGCTACCTAACAGATTCACTTTCTCACAGGTCTGTACCTGGAATGCAGTGGTAGATCTTCAAACATTGGCCACTGGAGCGCTTACTATAACACTGCTTTAGAGAACAGAGTTCCCTAACCCACATAATGGTTGGCATCTTACCTGCCATGTACCCTGCTTTACAGTAAATTAGAAGCACAGTGCATGAAGATTCATGCACATAAATGTTTATAGCAGTGATGGTAAACCTATTAGCAACTTCAGTGATAACAAGCTGGGTGTAGTGGCACACACCTGGCATCTCAGCACGTGGGAGGCTGAGCCAAGAGGATTACCACAAGTCTGAGGCCAGCGGAACTACATGGCAAGACCCTGTCTCAAAAAACAAAAAACAGCCTGTTACAGCACGTGTGCCATAGGATCACTGCCACAGGTTGAAGGTAGCATTATCTGTGGTGGTGGAAACCTGTAAATTGTAGTGTATGCCACTGTGTTGGCTCACGCAGAAGATCCCAGCACCGGGGAGAATAGGCAGGAGCAGGTGCGTTCAGGCCAGGGTTTCTTAGGGATTCAGTACAACGTGAGGAACAGAGCAAGACTGTTTCAAAATAAAACAAACAGTAAATGGTAGCATGTGGGAGCAATGGAATTCAACTTTCCAATAATAGATAACAAGCTGTATCTGCATGCTTTGAAAACCTGTATGATGGGGCTGGGGATTTAGCTCAGCGGCTTATGCCTGCCTTGCAAGCGCGTGGTCGTGAGTTTGATCCCTAGTACCAGTAAAAAAAAAATGTATGAACTTCATAGGCATGATATTGAGCCTAGTAACCCTGGCCAAACCATACTTGTATAGCTTAATCTCTGGGACAATCAAAAGAAGGTAATAGAAAGATCACCTGGGCTACAAAGTGAGCTCAAGGCCAGCCTGAACTGCATAGTGAGACCCTGTGTCAACAAGACACAAAAAAGGGCCAGGGATTGAGCTCAGTGGCACAAGCACCTGCTTGGCATGCACAGGGTTGTGAGTTCAGCCCCTGGTACAAAAGAAATGGAAACAAAAAAGAGGAGAAATGATGGTAGGTGTGTGGAGCACACCACTAATCCCAGTAATGAGGAAGAGGCAGGAGGATTCCAAATTCAAAACCAGCCTGAACTGCATAGCGAGGATTTATCTCAGAAAATGCAAGGGGTAGCTGGGCACGGTGGCCTATAATCCGTCTCTCCAGAGGCTGAGAGCAGAAGGGGCTCCAGGAGGACAGCCTGCACTACAGAGCTAGACCCTGTCTCACACAACAAAAACTCCGAGCAGTGAAACTGTGCAGTGGAAATAGATTACAACTGTTTTAAGAGAATTGGAATTTAAGTAGCAAAGAAATGTGCATTCTCTTAAACTAATTATAATCCCATTGCTCTGTTTCTTGGAGAGGTTCATAGATAGCTTTTCAGTAGGTTTCAGTGACTTAAATTTGTTTTTATTTTTGTTCTTGCATTTTATATGTCTATTTAAAAATTTTTTATAATAAATTGGAAAATAGGGGCTGGGGATTTAGCTCAGTGGCATAAATGCCTGCCTTGCAAGCAGGCAGTCGTGAGTTCGATCCCTGGTACCAATAAAAACGAAAAAGACCAAAAAAAAAATAAAAAAAGAATAAATTGGAAAATATACCATTTCATCCTCCTGAGAAATGTGTGAGTAGAACGAAAAGAGAATAGTACCCTCACTGCCAACACTGCTGCGCCCATCTTTGACAGAGTAGATCGTTATATTCAGCAGTATGAGAACTGAAACCAAAATTGTACATAAAAAGCCAGGCATGGTGGTACACACCTGTAATCCTAGCCCTGGGGAAGCTGAGGTGGGAGGATCACTGTGAATTTGAGGTCAGCATGGGCTATGAAGTGAGCAAAGCCAACCTGAACTGCATCGTGAAAGCCTGTCTCAAAAAAAAAAAAAAAAAAAGATTGTGTGTGAAAAACTTCATGCCCAAGAGAAGATTTGGGTGCTGATGTGAGGTGGAGTCTTGTGATTTAGTTTGGGTGATATTTTTGGCTACTTAAATCCAAATTCTCTTAAACTAATTAAAGTCCCACTACACTGTGAACACAGTAAGTATACAATTTGTATTCTTTTCCCTGAATGCTTACATAGGATTAGGTGTGAAGGCTTATACTGAAGTTACTCAGGCTGCAGCTGGGAAAACTACATTTCCACCGCTGTTTTTTAATACTCGTGCCTCCAACTACACTTGCAACACACGAAGGCACCAGATAAACATTTCCACTCTGAAAGGGAGACGTGGGTGAATAGAAAGGAATGGCAGAAGCCTAGCAGGGCAGACAGTAAGTCTTTTAGCTCCATGTTGAGCAGTCTGGGCAAACTGGGAGGCGTCCCTTCTCCAACAGGATGCCTCAGTTTCTTCTCCAAGCCAGAGTGGGCTTTCTGGTCCCTCCGATTTCCTCAAGGCATTTTCCTGTTGTCCTGATGTAAATTACTTAGCTTGTTTATAATGCTTACCATTTTAGCTACAGAGCTCTTCTCTGCTGCTTCCTTGCAGGTCCCAACTTTAAGGAAGCTCCGTGTCTGGCCTCCTGTAAAACTTCTGAAATCATCTGGCTGTGACTTTTGCTCTTCATTCTCAAGGTGAAGCAAAGCTCCTGACAGTACAAATTCCTCAGCCTGAATTCTAGGCTGCTGTGAAGTTTCTTCTGCCAGGTTAGTTAGTCTAGTGCCTTTAATCTCAGTCTACTAAAGAGTCTCAGGATGTGAGCAAAAGGTAGGCAATCTTTCTGCCAGAGCTAAACGCACATGGTTTGGAACCTAGGTATCAATGGAGTCCTTTTTCCTAACTAAAATTTCTCAAGCCCGGTCTTTCTCAGCTGCATTACTATCTACATTCTGGGCTTCGGAGCTCCAACCAGAACCTCCTGTGAAGCTTCACTTAGTAGCATTGAAGGCTGCAGGAACAGGGAAGACAGGAGTCTGGATTAGATTTTGCTTGTCTAATGAGACTTTTACTTTTTTGTTTATTTTGTTTTATAGCTGGTGATTGAACACGTGGAAAGCATACATTTTATTGCTGAGCTATACCAATAACTCCAGGAGAGATTTAAAATGGATAGAGACACATGTGGTGATACCCACATATAATTCCAGCACTGGGAAGTTGGAGCAGAAGAATTTTGATGTAATCCAGGCTATGGATTACATAGTTAGTTTGAACCCAGCTTGAGCTACATGGTAGTACCCTGTCTCAATAAAAACAAAAAATGAAACAGCCAGGCATGCTGCACAAGCCTGTGATCACAGCACTAGGGAGGCTGAGGCAGGAGGATTGTCCTGAGTTTGAGGCCAGTCTAGCCTACATAATGATTTAAGTTAGACTGAGGTACACAGTGAGATGTAACTCAAAAACAAACAAAAGGGATAATGTATGCAATTTCTTTTCTAGTATTTAAAAATCTTCCATCTGTTTTTTTGGCACTGAAGATCAAACTCACGACTTCAAACTTGCCAGGCAGATGCTTATGCCACTGAGCTAAATCTCTGGCCCCAAAATCTTCCATCTTGACTTGATTTTTTTTTATCTTGACTTGATTTTGATGCTTCTAGTCATGAATCTAGTGTTTTTGCTTGTCCATTGTAATGCTTTGTATTTTTATCATAGTAAAATATGCAAAATAAAAACCACCATTCATCCCAGCACTTGGGAGGCTGAGACAGGAGGATCATTGCCAGTTCGAGACCAGCCTGGGCTACAAAGTGAGCCCAAGACCAGCCTGAACCATATAGTGAAACCCTGTCTCAAAAAGACAAAAACAAAAAGAAAGAAAGAAAAAAAAGAAAAACCACTGAACCACAACTGTAACCATTTTTAGTACTCAATACAGTGGCATTAAATGTATCCACATTTTTGTGCAACCCTTATAACCATCCATTTCAAGAACACTTTCATCTTGCAAAACTGAAACTCTGGCTAGTAACAATAAATTCCCTAGTCTCTGGCAAACCCCCAGTTGACTTCCTTTTTTTCTTTTCTTTCTTTTTGGCTTTGTTTGAGACAGGCCCTCACTTATGTAGCCCAGGCTGGCCTTAAACTAAGGGAGATGATCCTGCCTCAGCTTCCTAAGTTTACACTGCACCTGACTCTAGTTTGCTTTCAATCTCTGTGATGTTTGACTGCTTTCCGTACTTCACTTAAATTGGCTCATTCAGTATTTGTTCTTTTCTGGTTAGCTTTGTTCACTTCAATTTGCATTAAGATTCATCCATCCTGTCCCATATGTCAGAGTTGCTCTCCTTTTTAAGGCTGACCACTAGTGTACTCGTCTCTGAATGCTGTGAGCAGCTTCTACCTTTGCCTGCTGTGACTGTGGGTGCACAGAGACCTCTCGCTTGCCCTGTTCGCCAAGTTGCCCTGTTTGTTGCCCAAGTACAGCCAGAAATGCAAGTGCTGGTGCAAACGATGTCCGCCGCCCAGGTCTTCACTCATAAAGGAGCTGGCGTGGGGGTGTGGGCAGCCCAGGGTCCTGGGAACTCACTGTGGTTACCTACTATTTTCCCACGGCAGTGTGCCCTGTGACAACACTGGAGGGGCAGCGGGGTCTGGTCAGGAGGCAGAAGGCCGCGTGAGATGCATGCAGCATCTGGGCCGAGGCATTTCGGAGCCCCTGGGGAGTCCAGGGAACAGCAGTAGCCGGAGTCCGCAGGGACTGGCTGGTTTGAGGAACTCTGGCTGGTGTGCTCCCGGCGGGGTGATGCTTAGCCTGGGAGGACTGGGACCCTGGAGAGTTAGTCTTGTAAAAGTTAAGTGAGGGAGGCTGTGGCTGTGGATGGCTCCCACGGGCGCTGGCAGGTCCTTCCTTCCTGGCCTTTCGGGATGAGTGGACCTTGGGCCGGGCAGTTTCCTCCCTGGGGTTCTGAGGCTCCCAATCGCAGCTCATCAAGAAGAAGGAAAACTAGAAAAATATGATTCACCTTGAGATAAATGTCTACCACGAGACACATGCAGAGCCTAAGAAAGTCCAGAACATGGGGCAATTCTCAAAAAGCTTTCTGAAGAAACCACAGGGGCTTGTCTGGTTTGTGTTCCCACAAGACCTGTGTTTTCTCCCCAGCCCCTCTACAGCCTTTTTATGCCTAGCGCCCCATTTTCAGAGTACCTACAACAGTGGAACATAGCACAGGTTTTTCGCTTCAAACTGTTGTTTGTTTGGGTTTTGGACTCTTGCTTCTTGACGTTTTCTAGGTGACATATATAAACTTCATGTAAGAGATTAAAAAATGTCAGTCTCTGACACAAATGTGTTAACACTTATGTTGTCTTTTATTCTGTGTGTGTGTTTGTGTGTGTGCTAGGTGTACCTTCCTAACAGACGTGAATTGATATTTCATTGTGCGTTTCATTTTCATCTCATAATAATGAATGAACCTGAACATTTTTTGGTGTGCCTTCTTCATACCTTCTTTGTATACCTTATCTTCTTTGGAATACTCTTCGTTATTTGCTGATTTTATAAGCAGGCTGTTTGTTTTGTGTTATCTTCTGCTTTGAGGAACTGAGTCTGGCCAGTGTTGGCGGGCTGGCCTGCATCTCCTGAGCTCCATGTGAGGGAGATGCTTTTCAGTTGTAGGAAATGAGTACACATCTGATATTTTCCTCACTGGCTCTGAACATGTGCCACTACAGGATATGTGGTTGGCAAGTATTTTCTCCAATCTGTGGGTCTCCTTTTCACCGTTTTGATTGTGTCTTTAGATGTGCAATGGATTTTAGATTGATGTATTTCCATTCTTGTATTTCTTTCCTTCTTTAGCTTTATCACTCAAGAAACCCTTTCCACATTTAATACTGCAAAGCAAAGCTTCTCCTCCTTAGAGTTTTACAGAGCTAGCTATTTTATTTTATTTTTTTGAGTAATGCCTGTTTTTATTTTAGAACAGGGTTACACCAAGCTGTTAAATTTTCCAGGTTAGACTCAAACTTGTAATGTACTTGCCTCAGCCTCTCTTAGTGCTGAGTTTAGAAGCTTGCATCACCATGCTGGGCTCAAGTTAATTTTTCTATATGATGTAACAAAAGCCCTGGTGGGGAGAATGGGGGGAGGAAGAGATAGGATAGAAGAAATAAAAAAAATGAGACACGGAGATCATAACTAAAAAGTTTTACTTTATGGGGCCAGAGATATAGTTCAGCAGCACAAGCTCCTGCCTGGAAAGCGTTAGGATGAGTTGGATCCTGGGTACCAAAAAAAATTATATCTTGTACCTTTAAGAAGACCACAGCCTACAGGAAACAGTGGAAGTTGCCCATGTACAGATCAGCATTCCTTTGGTTAAATTTAGACTCCTTCCCTACCGGACTCATCACACCCCAAATTCCTCACGTACACTAAACCCATAAAGTGGCTTAACTGAGAAACCAGGGAGCAGGAACCTGTTCCCAAGATAAAAGAGCACACTGAACACACCCAAAGAATGTTTAAATTTCTAGCATTCAGAGGGAAGGAGAAAAACAGCAGAGACCACCAGGTTTATGTAAGGGCAACATGGGATGGAATTTACTGTGCCTGGGCATAGGCAGAAGCGAGATAAGACATGAAGGAAGAATAGAGGGAAATGTGTCTCCTTTTATGGGGTGGACAGAAGGCAGGGGCCGTGGGGCAGGAAGATCCCAGTAAACATCTGTGGCCAAAGTTCTCTGGCTGCCTTGTATCTCAGTGGGCAGAGTCCTTGAACAGTCCAGTGTAAATTCTAGGGTGTCTCCAGATGTCCCCCGGACCTGAAAATTCCTGGTCCTATCTTATCTCCTTTCCTGTGTTTGTTGATGACGCTTTCGGTGTGGTACTGAACCTAGGTCCTTGCTGGAGCTGAGCTCCCTGTAGACAGCAGTGCTTCTGCTGAGCACCAGCCTGGGGCCTGGGGGAGTCGGGTCCAATGGACTCAAACATACAAAACTACTGATTGAGGGGGCGAAATACCCATAGCTATAGAATGGGCTAGCACTCTTACAGGGGTGGCTCCTTTCCCCAGGCTTTTCTGTCTCTTCAAGAAAGGAGAAATGGGGCTGGGGCTATAGCTCAGTGCCTGCCTAGCAATGCGAGGTCATGAATTCAGTCCCCAGTAGGGAGATACAGAAAGACGGACAAACAGAAAAAAAGAAAGTAAATGTTCTGAGTTCCAAACTGAAATGTGCCTCACCCCTCTGAGAGCCTTCACTCTGCTCATTTTTGTCTTTTCCCTGTGTATTTCAGGCTGGCCTTGAGCTCACTTTGTAGCCCAAGCTAGTTTTAAACTCACAACAATCCTCCTGCCTCAGCCTCCCAAGTGCTGGGATTACAGGCGGGCTCCACCACACCTGGTTTGCACTCTGCTCTTGAGTGCATCCTAAATCTCTAGTAAACCCTTCCTGAGAATTGTTACTGCTGCACCCTAAAGTTCCCTCCCATGCCCACCAACAGCAGTCAGCAAACCTGCTACAATACAGTGGGTTACATTTTTTTCTTTCTTTCTTTCCTTTGGGTGTTTTTTTTTTTTTTTGAGATAGGGTCTCCCTGTGCAGTTCACACTGGTCCTGAACTCACTGTGTAACCCAGGCTACCTTTAACATGCAGCAATCTCCCTGCCTCAGACTCCTGAGTGCTGGGATTACAGGCATGCTCCACACTTGGCTTTCTTTAATTATTTGAGACAAGGTCTTCCTATGTAGTTCAGGG